CCAAAAAGTTGGTTCTTTGAAAAAAAAATTGATAAACCCTTAGCCATGCTAATGAAGAGAAGGAGAGAGAAAACTCAAATTACTGACATTTATGATGAAAAAGGAAATATCACTATGGACACTACAGAAATATGGAAGATAATTAGAAACTATTTTGAAAATTTAAACTACAATAAAATAGACAATATTGAGGGCTTCGACAAATTTCTAGAGTAATATGATTTGGACAAACTGAATCAGGATGATATACACAAGTTAAACAGATCAATTTCAAGCAGTGAAATAGAAGACGCCTTCAGAAGCCTACCAACCAAGAAAAACCCAGGACCAAACAGATAATGTTCTTATGCAACACTTAAATATCACCTGCTAATATATTACCTATTTTTCTTATTGATTTTATTTTCTGTCTATCCCGATTTATGGGTTATGTCAAAGTTTTTTTTTTTTGGTCTATTTTCCTTGTTTGCACCCTGACATCCAGTATTAGCATCTGCCGCATAGTTGGCACCTAATAAATACTGGCTGAAAAAATGGAAGAGTGTAGGTACACAAATTGTTAGCATTAGCAGGAGAGTTGGTGAGTTTGCTGGATCACTATACAAGAATTTATGTTATAATCACCCGAAGAAACAGTTGAAAAATATAATTTAAAAAAGATTATCAATTGTCATTTCAGATAGAACTATAAAATACTTTTAACAAAGGATTACAACATTTTTAAGATCCTTTAAAAATTATAAAACATCATTAATGATATTTAAGATTTAGAAAAATGGATGGAATATAATGTCTATAGATAAGAAGACAGTTGACAAGGATAAGGATTTTCTTTAAGTTAATCAATTAACAAATGAAATTTCACGAACATACCAACAGGATTATTCATAACACTTGAGAAGCTCAGTATAAAACTATTAAAGAACAAAAACAAATTAAAGCAGATTTTAAGCAGAAGTTTGTGGATATTGTCCTACCAGATATAAATATGAATTACAAAGTTAAGAGACAAGCTTACACATTGGAACAAGAAATTACACTGAGAGATGCCTAAGGGTCAAGGAATTACTGCAAGAATATGTCATATGCTCCAAGTTAATAAGAAAATGTTTTAAAATCACAACAGAAGAAGCAAAAAAGCATAAACAGCACTTCTCTGAAGAGGAAACCCAAGTGACAAATCACAAATGAACGTTTGAAAAAATGGTGAACCTCACTAATAACAAGGGAGGTAAATGCTTAGACAACAGTTCCATGCTGCTTCAGTGAGATTGAAAAGAAATTTCAAAATCTGGTAAAAGAAAGCATCGGTGAGTGTACAAGGCCACAATACTCTCATACGCTGCTGTTGGGGGGTATAAATTAGTACAATCACTTGGGAAAGCAATTTGGCGTAAATGGTAAGATTGGAAACACACAGAACTCTAGAACCAGTTGCTGCACTTTTGGCTGTGTACCTTAGAAATACACATTTGCCAAAATTGACAAATGTAAGAATATTTCTTGTAGCTCTGTTTAAATAATAAATGCCAAACAAAAGAAAGAGGGATAAATAAATTGTGGTGTGTCATACAATGGAATACTCTGCCCATTAAACAAATGGAACTATATGAACCAGAATGCATAATCTCAAAAGCATAGTATTAAGCCTTTTGGCATTGTTTATATAAAGTTTAAAAACGTGAAATACAACGCTTGAATAATTTTTGAACCATGCATATGTAACAAAGAGATAAAACCAAGCATGAATGAGTATTACAATCAGGATACTGGTTAACTTGGGAACCTAAAGGAGGAGGCTTGGATTAAGGAGAAAGAATCACGATATTTAAAGAGTCCAGACATGTTGGAATGAGGACCAACAGTCAGGAAGATGTTTGTAAAGGTTTAAAATGTCACATAATCCACTTAAAATTTTTATAAGATTTGATTCAACCACAAAATCTTAGCACTTTACAGGATAAATGCAGACAATGTGTGATGTTACTGTTATCAGCCAGTGCTCCAAGCAATTGGTCTGAGTGAGTACTGATAGTGATCAATAATGACAACAAATCAGGACACTCCAGGGAGGTGACCAGATGTGGAGGACCTAGCAGCACTTGGAGCTACCTTGGGGTGTGCTCCATGGGCTTGGCACAAGACCACCCTGGGAGGATTAAACTAACAAGGTCCAGTCTTCAGAGTGGAACTAGCTCTCTACCAGCCTGGCTTGAGACACCCCCTGCACATGGTGTCTGTATAGATGAAGGGGTGTGTCTCAGGGACAGAAGTTGGAATGTGGCAGTAACAGAGGAGGAAGAAACATAATTAGTAACTGTGCTCCTTCTCTAGAGAAAGGCTGAGCAGCAGTCTTGGATAAGAATTCTGACCCATATGAGTAACAATTTTCATAGTTCAATCAACAAATTGGCATTCTCATTTGACTTCCAAGTCTTGCATCTGCAGAGAACGAGTGGGATTGCATTTCACGTATCCTGACAAACTTAAACCTTCAGACCTGAGGGTCAAGGTCTATGGGGTCAGGTGGCACAGCCTTCCTGGACACAGGCCTCTACTTTGTCACAGAAAACCCGAGCTCACTGAGAATGTTAAGTTGGAAAGAGAGAAGCCAGAGGTGACACCTGATGCTTATTTTCAAAGGTTCAAACGTTTCCTTGTAGGAACAGAGTTAGACTCTCAATTGTTGGAGGCAGAGAACAGAATAAAGAACAATGAGTAGAAATTTCAAAGAGCAAGATTTAATCCAGCTGAAACGGGCACAGCCAGCCATTGGAGCTTTCAACAGCGGAACAGCAATGTCTTTACCAGTTAGAATTTTTGATCAAAAACAACAGGAAAAGTGTGGACAGATTCAACAAGTGACAATGATGATGATAATAATAATAATAATAATAATAACAAGAGGCAGACTGGGATCTGATAAAACAGCTGGAGTGTCTGGCCTGGGAAGAGGCAGGCAGCAAGGTGACCACAGCCACAGGGGGCAGGAAACCCAGGACTGCCTCTTGGGGCACCACCATGACAAATCACCCTCTGTTGACATCTTCCCTAATGGGAACTAATTCTCCCTATGGGAACTAATTCTGATTGACAAGTGTGGGTTGGGACAGGGCAGGGGACCATCAGTGAGGAAGGCCCATCACGGCTCCATGCAATGGAAAGAGACTGTTTTATCAGAGGAAAACTGAGACAGGAGGAAGTTTCAGAACCTGCAGTGTCCTCACCATTGCACATGCAGGAGAAGCCACCTGCTTGTCAGGAATCCCAAGGAAGAATTTCTGCCCTGGAAGGGAGGTTGAGAAGGCAAGCTAGGAGGTGACTTCTTGTTCCACATTTCTGAAGAGGAACTGAGACATGACTACTGAGATCCAGGGTCATTAGGAAAGATCAGTAAGAAAGATCCTGGCCTGGTCAGGAGAGAGGATACAAGCAGCTCATGGGGTAGGTAGTTACAGAGTGGGCATGAGGGCTCAGTGGATTAATTGGGATAGGAAGACAGGAGCAAGTGGCATTTGTCACCCCACACTTAATGTATGTAAACTAGAAGTCACCATCCTTCTGCTCTCCCTGCCATGGCTACAGCTAAACAGAAGACAAACGTGAAAGAGGACAGCGGATGAGGAAGACAAGTGGTCACCTTGCCCTCAGACCTGCTGGTTGGGTGCGATGCTAACTAGAGGGCTTGATATCCCCATAATGTTCCTGGTGACAAGGGATCTGCCAGCCTTAACAGTTAACCAGTGAGGACACATAACAGGCCCTTCCAGTCCTCAACTCCTGCATTTGATGTCTGTGAGACCAAGCACTTAGTGACAGAAACAGAAGAAATCATTGGCCACTAGTGACCTCTGGTGGAAATGGGCTTTAGGGACCTCAGATGCTTTTTGGGTTTTGTTTCTTTTCCTATTAGAAAGACAAAAATGAGTGGCCTATTCATTCAACTTGTTTCCAGAGGAGTGAAGAGGGGTGGCCAGGAACAGCACAGAAATGGGAATATAACCAGGATCACTGTATGTTTTGAGTCAGACTAAATTGATTAATGTCCTGGAAAAAAAATGTGGACAGGAAATTTCTGACAAAGACATGACCTGAGAAAAGAAGAGTGTTTGGGCAGTGACTTCACTGGCCAGTGGGGAACCATGGCATACCACTGGCAGCCAGCAAGAGGACATGCTGACAAGCTCCGAGGGTGCATGCTAGCTGCCAGTGTGCCTGTTACACTTCTCTTTATTACTGCACAGAAACCAGCTGTCATCTCTGAAATACACACACGTTTGCCAACTGGGGACTCTATGCACTGTGGGGATATGACTGGAGGATTGGTGGCCCAGGCCTCTGAGTGGGATCAGTGTCACAGAGGACCAAGCTCAACTGAGAAGGTCAACCTCAAACTGCACTGGGCACTTGCCCTCTGCCTTCTCTGGAAAGTGTTTTCAGAATAGGTGACCCTTGACATGGCAGAGTGGCATACAGAGGGAAGGGGACGTTCCATGGAGGTTTTAAATCTGTCATATCACACCTGGGATCAGGAACAGGTAAGCTGAATTAAGTGGGGGTGGAGGGTAGAAAATGGAGCAGAGGAAGAATTCAAAATAGAGGCAACAGGGCACACAGAGTTATCCAGCTCAAGGCAGCAGAGGATATTCATCCTTGTCTCCTGGGAGGCAGGAGGTTATCATCTGCCTCCCCCCATTGTCCAGCCCCCACGATGCACCCCACTTTGTTTGCTTTTTCCTTGAACTTGCTACCTCTCCCCTCCACGACAATTCAAGAATGCAAAAATAGCCCCTAAACAATGCATTTGTGAGAATGCCCACTCTGGTCTCCATGAGTGGACAAAAGGTGGACCAAGTGCTATTTCTTAGGACAGTTCAGAGAGACCAAGGCTACTGTCCTTCACCTCCCTCCAGCAAAGCTCCTTCCCCAGGGAGATACCCAGTCCCCAGGCTCTAGGACAGGCCGTTTTAGGCAGCTGATCCACAAGCCAATTTACTTACTGAAGATGAGCTAATTATTTTAATCTGCTCCAAAGCTTCTGTCAGGCTGTCTTCAATCTCAGAGTCATCTAAGGAGAAGAGGTCCCCGGCTCGTGAAAGATCTTTTTGTCCCAAAACCAATCTGAAAAGTTGATGCATGATGAGGAGTTTGATCAGTGGACCCTCCGCGTAGACCCTGAGCCATACACTTGGCGCGCAGAGGTCAGCAAGAGAAAACACACGGCCGGAGGGACTTCATAATCCACGCCAGGGCACGTCACTCCAGATTTTGGGGTCTTTGTGGACACTCTGCAAGGAAAACAAATGACACAACGTAACCACGGGCGGAATGACAAGAGCTCAGATAGAGAACTCATAGCAGAGAGAAACTCGGACACGGACAGAGTCGCAGACCCTGGGTTAATGGTCTTCAAATGCGTTTTCTCCTTATTTTTGTCTTAGAAAGTTGTCGAAATCATTATGTTTCTCCAGAACTTAATTTGAACCTTCAAAGGTTGCACAAAACCCACATTCGTTTTTCTCCACTTTTCTCCCTCCTACATCCTTCTACTTCTATGCTTCAAGGAAACAGTGCGCATGCCCAGCACTTGCCAGCTGTTTCCCAAACAGATTTCCATGGAAATCAAACAGAGGGGAGAGTGGAAGGAAAGAGGGACATGGGTTTGAGATCCACTGCCCGGCGCTTGTTCCTCTACAGCCTGGCCACAGGCACCCTGCGGTCCTCCTGCCTGGAGTGCCTGGTGACTGTGGCAACAGAAGCCCTCCTCAGGCTCTGCTCCGAGGTGGCCTCAAGACTCCCACTACCCCCGCGAATCCCCCAGTCAAAGACCTGTGATGTGAAGGGCTCTGCCTGCAAGGACAGGGTGGGGTCACTCTGCACTGCACATTACCATGACCCTGAACCAGAACACTGTCCGAAGGGGAGCACTGCAGTGCAGGCCAAAGAGGGGGTGCTCGGAGATGGGACAACCTCCTCTGTTCCCACAGTTAGAATAATCAAGTCCCACTGTACTTCTCACCCCAGTGCCAGTCCACAGAGACGAGGCCAATGACACAGTAGATACCTGACTTTTCTCACCAGCTTCATTCCTAGTCAAACAAAATCCCAGACCATTTGCACTGGTAGAGACCTCAGCAATCCTTCAATGGCCTGGGAGGGAGGATAACTTCCCCAAGTAGTTGGGGCAGACAGGAGGCTTCCCCAGGGTCTATAGTGAAGAGGAATCACCCATATGTGCAGGCACGTGCCCAGACAGTAAGTGTCTAGAGTAAGTTACTTTAAAAAAAAAAAAGCAACAGATGATTCTACTCAGCGTTTTACTCTGTGTTCCTGCGAATATAGGTGGAAAGAGAGAAGGAAGTCTGGTTCCCAGGTGCTGTCTCAGATTTCCCTCCAAGCTGGCACTGTAGGAGCACATCCCTGTACTGGAGGCAACTTTCAAGTTTCAAGATACATACTCTCCATACAATGTGTTCTCTAAATACAAGCCAGACTTCCACGGGATACTTAACTCTGTAAGTTCTCTGCAGTATTTCACACAGTGCAATTGATTGACCTTTTGAGAGCTTTCAGGGGCATTATTGCCTATATGTAATTTTTGCTCTCTCTGCCAGCTTTAGAAATACAAGGCCAAAGGCTCACCTGCCCTTGTTGATATGTCAGGTACAGATGTTTTGCAAATACTGACTTATTTAATCCTCAAGATACCTGTATCTTGTCATCCTTACTTGCTGGTGAGGAACCCAAAGCAGTTAAATAACTTGCTCTGGCCATACAGATAGTAAGGTGGAAAATGAGGATTTAGACCCACAGACTCCAGTACCGACTCCAACCTCATAACCACTAAGATATATTGACTCCGTGTAGATGTGAGGCCACCATTGGGAGTAAAGGTCCTCAGAGCAACATTTACATTTAGGAATGAGGGCGGGGTCATAAAGCAAGAAAATTAATACCTCTTCTCTTCTGTATCCTTGCCCATCTGGGATTTAGGCCAATAGGAGAGCGAGAAAGGGAAGCCCAGGAAGAAGAAAAGGGGAGGGGGTGTGGAGAGGGTTTCTGGGTGGGGAGGGGCACAGTGAAGGTACCATAAAGTAGCCTGCAACCTGACAGATGTGGAAAATTGAATTACAATATCTACAAAAGAAGGAGGGGGGGGGGAGGAGGAGGAGGAGGAGGAGGAGGAGGAGAAACAGGACAGTGTTTCCTAGATTTCCCCTGAACACATTCTTCTTCCAGTCTCAGACATTTGCAGACAATCTCACTGAAATGACATCCAGGAAAACAGACTGGATGCAAATGAGCTCCCTCAACCAGTCAGCCTGTCGGACCACATCGGTCACTTCAGGAAGCAGAGCCAGCTGCCCCACACGTATACAGGGGAAGCAGCTCTGACAAGGAGCAGACCCTATATGCTGGTGGAGGTGGGCACCCATCAGCTCTCCCAGGACCCTTTACTCTCCAAGCTTAGGTGACACAGGTGAGGCATGCCACATTCATGCTTTCTGTGTCAGCTGTTACTCTGGAGTGACCACTGTATGCAAAACCCTTAGCAGAAACACCGAGCTGTCCAGCAGATCTGCGCTTAAAGTCACTCGCAGATCTAGGAGCTTGGGAGAGATGAGGCCAGTACCACACATTCTACAAAATGCAATGACTGAGAGAAAAGCCATCTGGGCACTAGAGAAAGAAGTTTGGGGAAGTACAAGGGAGAGAGAGGTCAGTTTTAGGGGAAGATGATAAGGAAGGGCTTTATGGAGCAGCACCTTTTAGGTTAGGTAAGATTTTCTCAGATTCTGTTCAATGCCCAGGTGCTGAGCACACACTAAATCAAAGCTTGTCTGAGGACTGAGATTCCAGGTCCTGCTTGGCCACTCGGTGGCTATGGGGCCTGTGGTACATGCTTTTCCTTCAATGAGTCTCAGTTTTCTCATATGCAAGATGCTAATGCATGTCTAATCTCTCTCACCAGTTTCTTGAAGATCAGAGCTAATCATGTGCAAACGAGTCCTTTGCAAAATAATGGGGGCTCAGAAAACTATACACCAAGGTGGAGGCCCTAGTGAAAGCCTCAGAAGCAAAGTTTCTCTCTGATCTTATCCTGCACTCCTCTCTCATGTTCTCCTTTTTCTCCCCCAAAGCACGTCATAGAAACTAGCATTTCCCTTGCCCAAGGCTGGACATAGGAACTATAAACCCTTTCTCTAAACAAAGCCATAAAGCCTACAAATCTGAATCTTCCTCTGCCTTTCTGTCTTGGAATCAGCCATAAAGAAATTCTCTGACCTACCCTGTCTGACAGTAGATCATAAAGTGCTGGGAGCCATTAGCCAAGTAGGTATGACAATTTCCTTGCCAGCGTACCCCATGTTGCAGTGACATTGAATGTACGTGACCTTGCTCAAGGACCAAGGCAGATTAGGGTGTTCCCGGTTTTAAGATAATCTTGTTTAGGGCGTTCCCAGTTTAGGTTCCAGGTTTAAGGTTTAAGATTATTCCTGCTGGGAATAGGGCGTATCCTGCTGCCTGAGTTCCCCTTGAGTTCTCACGGGATTCAGACAGTATATTTTGGAGATAGAAGCCCAGTGGAGGTGAATTTGGGAGAGAAGGTGGATTTGGGAAGAGAACGTGGATTTCCCCAGAACATGATTGTAGACGGCTGGTGAGAGTTCTGGAATAAAGAGTTGCTGTTTGAATCTACAAGCTGTGTGGTGGCTCGTGATTGTGTGCCCAGCCAGACTGCGGCATTTGTGCCCAGCCAGACTGCGGCATTTGGTGGCCCGTACGGGGAACTTTTGAAGCTTAGAGGTAAGTGAAATTTCTCACCCTTGAGGAAGAGAGAAAGAATGGGTCACCAATTCAAAAAACAATGTGTTATTGTTTTGATTTATTTTGTTTTCATTTCAAGTTGCCTGTTCCTAGAACTTTCTCAGGCAAACTGGGGAAAATGGTTGACTCAAGGTTTGAAGTTGTTCGCCTCCGAGCAAGATAAATTGTTAAAGGAAGGAGGCACCCCAGTAAGACCAAGAACAATTAGGGCATATGTTGATACAATACAAAAATGTAGCCAATGGCTTTTTAAAGACAAGTTATTAAGTATATCAATGGGACCATCATGGTATCCTGTAGAAAGATTTTTCTTCAACAAGAAAGAGAGGGCTAGTTCTGTTTGCTACACTTGTCTAAGATCTTGGTTTCTACAAAGTTCTGATTAATTTACAAAGCTAAAATGTTGAAACATCAACCACTCTTTACTTATTAAGTTACATAAGGTAATATATTTAAGCATGTGTGTTTTCATAAATTGGTGAATGGAAAAAAGGTTTAATATTGCTTTGGTCTGTGTCTTTGCTAAAACAAGGTTACTAAGAGTTAAGATTCTATCATGTGTAATTTATATACAAAGAGTATAAGAAGTTTCAGTTGGGTTTCAATTATAGTATTATAGTATCATAAAAAAACATGAAAGTCTTTCATCTTATTAAAGTGGAGTAATTTGTCTAAATCAGAAATTTTATAAGAGTTGTTTCAGAATGTAAATTTATAAAAAGGGTTAACAGTTAAAAAAGAGATATAAAAAGATTCAAGATGTGGGAATATATTTTAATATAAAAGATTAAAGGAAAAAGAAATGATTCTAGATGATATAATCTGTGTGGTAAAGTAAAAAGTTGTAAAATGCCATTTAAAAAGAATTTGAGGAAACTAGACTTAATTTAAAAGCTTGAGAAAGGAAGAAAGAAGAAAAAGATATTTGTACATGGCAGATTGAGACAAAGCTTCTCAATGGAGTTTAAAAAAAAGCCTTTGGTTGAAAGGCAGCCATGTAAACTAACATTGAAGCGATTTAAACAAAATCTAAGCCTCGTTTAAAAGAGTGAAGCTGTAGGTGGTGAAAAAGTACATTTAAAAGTACAGTATAGATGATAATTAAAAGGCTTTAAAAGGTTAAATTGAAGGTGGTTAAAATGCCTTCATGATGGAGGAAAGCAGCTTAATCTTAAAGGCATTACTTTCAAAAAATGGGAAGATAATAGGATAAAAGATATTTAGATAAAGAAGATTAAAAATTTAAAGTGAAAAACTTTAAAGACAGAAGTATAGAAAGTTAAAAAGAAAAAAGATAAAGAAGATGTAGAAAGATAAAAAAAATGTAGGAAGACAAGAATTTTAAACCCACAAAATAGGAAAAAAAAAAAAAACTAGGAGGAAAATAAGCAACTAAGGGTAAAAATACAAACCTTAGGAAAAAAAACTAGAAGATACTAAGATAGAAAATGGTTGAAAA